ATCATTCACTCAGAACTACATGTACATTCTTTTCTCACTACAGATGAAGTAGCGTGTGTGGGTGAAGCATGTAAAGACGTATGTGGCTCAACGGTTGCCTGTTCAAATATTGCATACCCTCGCCTCGTTCTGGGGATAATGCCACCAGGTCTTCGCGGTGCCATGTTTGCTGTCATGATGGCGGCCTTGATGAGCGATCTCACGTCTATATTTAACAGTTCAAGCACGATATTCACACTTGATATCTACAGCAGAATACGCCAGAAAGCGAGTACCAGAGAGTTGATGATTGTTGGACGGTAGGTAGTCGTATATCTCAAATTCATGCACAATTAATGGGCGGTAAACAAAGGGAATCCCAACTATGACGGCAGTTGGATATGTGATCTTAATCAGCATAGAATTCCCTCAAACTTAAATTTCTCTTAAAATTCTGATTCATTTGTGAATTTGAGATGTAATATATCAAATTCAACTAAGAGGACTTTACCAGATATCCAGTAAAGTCCTCTTATAGTTGGATTTGATATATTACATCTCAAACATGGTGGTCCAATGCAAGCAGTATAGTTGTTCAGACACAGACCATGGACACAGAGGGTAACTAAAGAACTTTGTATTATAATTCTTTGCAGTATTTGGGTAGTGGTCATGTGCGGTGTGAGTATTCTATGGATACCTGTGGTAGAACGGTTTCAAGGTGGTCAAATGTTCCTATATATCCAGGCTATATCCTCGTACCTCGCTCCACCCATATGTGCTCTCTATCTGCTGGCTATCTTGTGGAAACGTGTCAATGAATTTGTAAGTCGTTACAAGTAACGCAACTTTTTAGCCTAGTACAGGACTCGCCCATTCAACAGAGCCTTCCATGAGGTTGCCAACATATGACAACCTTTTGTAGCTGGAAATCTTAGTTCTGTCAATTGTTTTGCAATATATTTCATGCAATATGTAGCTTTATTTTTAGCCTACCAATGCTTTCATGGTTGAAAAATTATTATGACAGCTTTTTTACACAGTTATTCAGTTATCATTCAAAGACTTCCTTTCAAAACTTTCCCCTTACTGTCCGTCACTTTTCTGAAGTTAACAACCATCTGCTGAATACGCCAACAGCATATTTCGCAGTACTTAATACTTAAAGCCCATTTTTGACTTGCAATTTTTGCTGAGATTTTAGGTGCTATTTTCTTCTTGTGAAGGATGCGAACAAGTGGATGAATTATGAAAGTTCATATGGGGGTACACCTATTCAGAACATTCATAATTCATCTACTCCTTCACATGCATCAGAAGAAGAATCGAAGCAAGAATGACAAGTGTAAACACGGACCTGAAAGGCACAGTTCAGCCTTTTGAACGATGTTTTTTTAAGGCGCATTTCAGCTCTTTTAATTGAAAAAACTAACTAGGAAAATCAATTAAGCATAATTGAAGATCACCAAACTCAATGTTTTTACCATTTTAAAACATTTTTATTGTTAAAAACATCGAGTTTACTGATTTTGAATTATGCTTAATTGATTTTCCTAGTTAGTTTTTTCAATAGACAACTTGCATGTTAGACAAATTTTTGATCTAACCGATCTAGGCAAAAAAAAAGTAAATTCCCGTTAAGAACTTATTAAAATTAGTAAACTTGCAAAATTTGGTTGCGAAATGTTGTAAAGCTTGGAAAATATAGCCTTGCAAAGTTTGCATATTTTCAGTATATTTGTATTACGTGCGGAAATTGTTACCATTTTTGAGCCGAAAATGGTAACAATTTCCGCTCGTAATGAAATATACTGAAAATATGCAAACTTTGCAAGGCTATATTTTCCAAGCTTTACAACATTTCGCAGCCAAATTTTGCACTTTTACTAATTTCAGTATGTTCTTTTTACCTGTGGTGTTTGATTCCCTTTTCTATGCTTAGATTAAAATTTAGTCTAACATGCAAGTTGTCCATTAAAAGACTGAAATGCGCCTTAAAAACCATCATTCAAAAGGCTGAACTGTGTCTTTAACTCTACTTATATGAGTTCTCTTTGAACTTTCTATAACATTTGGTCAATTTCTACAAGTGCTAAACAAAAGAAAAATATTAAATTTTATTGCAATCGATTTCAGGGTGCATTCTATGGTATGATGATAGGATTTGCACTTGGCATTTCTCGAATGATATGTGATTTTGCTTTCCCTCAACCAAAATGTGGCGATGCTGACACAAGGCCTGGTTATGTCAAATTAAACTTCATGTATTTTGCTCTTATTATGTTTGTTGTCACGACTGTTTGCATTGTCGTGCTCTCATTCTTTGGCGAGGAGTCTGAACCCGAAAAGGTATGTACGCCAACGCTGATTGGCCAGTTTTGTTCCTACATGCGCGGTGATTGGTCAATTTTTATATGTGGAACACAAAGATTTTCCCGCCACAACAGTTTTTAAAGTTTCCGAAAATAAAGCTTGTCTATGAAAACAGCGGAAATGTGGAATTAAAGGATTGGCAATTCTTTAATTTTTTGATGTTTTGCGTTCTTGTTTGAATCTGGAAACTCAAGATACTTCGTCAGGTTATTGGTGGTTGGGCTGTAGTACTTTCCAGGTAATTCAGACACAAACCACGATTAATCAATGCATGTAAAATACTACCTACATTGGATTGCTTGAGAAGTATTTTTAATCGTTTTCAGGTAGTTCAACACAAACCACGACATCTTAATGTAGGACGTTGCTTATACTTGACTTCCATAGCAAAAAATAGAGTACGTTGTCCTGTTTTAGATATCTCGTCTCACATACTGGACTCGCTTTGATGCTGTGGATGAATCAAGTGTTGTTCCCAATAAAACCGAGTCCTTTGAAATGGTTAACAAAGTCGAGGAAAAACCGGACAAAAATGAAAATGAGGAAATGAAAATTGAGGACGTTGACGTGGTAACAGAAGGTAATGACCACTGCTCTGGTAATAACATTGTTTAGTTTCCCTTTTACTGTTTATAAGATGTTAGTAGCATTGTAGTTAGTGCATGTCCCTCGTACGTGACACGGGGGTTCCATTTTGAAAATGCAGTTTTGCTTCAGTCACATGCGAGAGGAGTGGTTTCCAATATGACTTTATACCGTTTCTAATAAAGTTAGTTTAGTTTAGTTTTCTTCCTGTAGTACCTAGGAAGAACAGTTTAGAAATGATAGATCTGTCTAGTATAAATGAAGTTATTTTAGGCTAGGTTACTTCCTGTAGTAACACTGGATCAATGAGAGATGTCCCTTACTGGACTTCTGTGCACAACAGTTTAGAAATGATAGAGCGGTCTAGTATAAATAAAGTTAGTTTAGTTTAGTTTTCTTCCTGTAGTAACACTGAATCAACAAGGGATGACCTTACTGGACCCCTAAGAAGAACAATTTAGAACTGATAGAGATATCTAGTATAAATAAAGTTAGTTTAGTCTAGGTTTCCTCCTGTAGTGAACACTGGATCAATAAGAGATGACCCTTTAGAACAGATATAGATTTATCCAGTTAATTTACAGTTTGTAAAGTTTTAAGGCATCGCCAATGATTAACTCATTTTCAGGCAATGACGACAGTATGTGTAGAAAGGCGTACAAATGGTTATGTGGTCTGGAAGTTGGCCATCAGGATGCTGTAAATGCGGAACAACTACAGCAAGAAAGGATCAAGAAATCGAGCAGTCTGAAACAGAATCCTCGCATCAGTTTGATCTTGAATATTAATCTAGGTATCATCTTCTCAGTAGGCTTGTTTCTGTACGTCTATTTTACCTTTCACCGCGCATAATCCCGAGTTTAGACACACTTATAGGTCATACATAAATATAATAAATACACATTTTAGTTAACCTTTTAATAAATTGGAATAGGGAAAATTTTCATATACACAACATTTTGTATTTTTTGCACATGCATATATATTTTTATTCGCGTAATTATATATTTGTAAATTATGTTGAATTTCTGTTAGTTGATTATTATTTTGCTATTGCTATTTTATTGCTTTTAAAATATAAACAAAATAAGTATTCTTTTTTTGTCTGCTAGTATATATTTTTGTACACGTTATTAAATTTAGGGTCATTTTCGACAACCTCCATCCCTATCCTAATTCTAACCCCGACCACTGAAAAATTTTTATTCTGTGCCTTGCCATGATTTGATCCTTGCATTAATTCATTAACTGTGATTAATTCTAACATAACCCAAACCTAAAATTTAATCCTTACCTAATCCTGACCCCAATTTTAACTCTAATATTAACCTTTTGATATTATTTTGAGATAGTATAATTATGGCCAGTTACCCAAAATCACAGAAAAATCTTTATTCTATGCCCAAAATTATAATTTAGCTTAGGATTAGGATTAAGATAAGGATTAGCAGCATGTAGTGCACAGTAGCTTTTACTGTAAGAATAGGTTTAAAACATGATTAGGATTGCGAGTTAGGATTATTAGGTTCAGATTAGTTTTCATTGATCCAATTCAAGGGTTCGCAGAACTCTGGTCCACTACATGAAAAACTAAATGAAGTACTGGCATCGAAGGTACAAGAAGTTCAGGCGCAGAATTTTGAAAAAATGGTGGAAATTTACGACTCGCATTTAGTTTTGGGTACTTTGGCGTTCTTGTGGCTCGTTTATTTGTGGGAAAGTTACTTATTAAAACGACAGGTATAAAACTGCGTATTCTCAGCTATAAAATGAATGTAAATTGTGGCAAGAAAGTTGTATTTATCTTATTTTAATTTCCCATGTCTTACCACGTGTGTTAGAAGTGCGGAAGCGAGGATTTTCAACTTTTTCCTGTAAAACTTGTACCAGTAGTTGATTTTGTTCATTAATATTCATTTTGTTTAATGCATGGACATTCCCTAGTTCACTTATCGATAGACTTTAATAAACTTTAGCAGAAATATTAACAATTGATAGGCAGAACAAAACTGCTTACGCAGCTGTTCCGCCCACAACCCACTCGTTCAAATTGCCGAACTTTGGCACCACCAGAGGGTCTGTTTTCTTAAAAATTTTCCTCTTGTTCCCTTTAAAAATTTCATTTATTGTAGAATACACCTACACTTGTCCCCATATTCAATAATAATGGCAATGAATAATATAAAGAAAGATAAAATAATCAGAGTGCTGCACTGGAATTTATAGTGCAAAGCTATGATTGCTTCAGGACTGTTGGATTACTGCTTTGTTGAAATTCACATAATTATACAAAAACTCTTCCACGAAATGATTATGTTTTGAAAATGATTAATTGTTGAGAAGTTATACCCTATTCCTATAAAGTGAACAAATACAATATAAGAATAAAGTACATAATAATTACAGTATAAAGTGAAAAAAGACAAGACAAGTAAAAGTGTATATGTATTTTGTAGTGCAATGTTTTAAAGACCACAGATGAGATACCAATAGAACTACGACATGTTCTTGACAAGGAAACATTTGAGAAGTCAAGGCTGTATCAAATGGATTCCAAGAACTTTGGTTTTTGGAACTCAATGTATTCCCAAATTGAGACCACGGTGAGTAGCAGATGGCTTGTAACAGCCAGTAAGCATGTCATTAAGTGACGAGGGGCATATCCACAGGGGAATGGGTGGTCCAGACTACATCCCACCTCCCAAAAGCTTGGGTTTTAGTCTCTGCCCTACTGTCGCCACTTCTATGTATTATGTTTTTAAAAGAATATTCTAAACTTTTTCTTGTGTTTGGCTTGAAGTACATTCATTATTTTTTTATATTATTAGTTGGTGTTGCTTTTTGGAGGTATTCCATTATTATGGTGGCTAGCTGGCAAGGTCTTGCACCGTTTTGGATATGATGAAAGTTATGAGGTAACCAAGTGCCTTAGCAGTTTCAGGTTTGAGTATCAGTCATAAGGACAAAATATAGAGACAGACACTAATTTCCTAGCAATTTAAAAAGACAGAAATTGGCTGAAAATTGCAAGTAACGAGGGTCACGTTTTTGATGTAGTTATTGGTAAAAGGGAAAGGTTTCAAAATTTTGAGATAACCTCTAATCTTGAACAAACTTCAATGTCTAAAAGATTTTCAGATGTACAGTAAATGCATCCTCATCCAAGCTCATCAATAGCCTGCGAACAGGCTCTCAAGCTGAATTGAGAGCCTGCATCGATGACTAATGAATTTGAATATCTGCGTCTCAAATCGTGACGTGAAATTCTCATTGGTCAGATGCTATAATTTATATGTTTCCGCCGAGCTCTATATATGTCAACTGCTGAAGCACTATGCATAAAAAACACATTAACTGATCAAATTGGTCTTGACCATCTTATCTCAAAGCACGAAATGTTCTATTTTGAGAAAACAGTATTTAAAACATTTGAACTTTTGCTTCAATATCTTATATTTCGAAAAACAGTATAAACTGTACGGTTTAAATTTAGTTTGCACGGTCTAAATTTAGTTTGCACGAAAGTTGTAAACAACACCATATAAGGATATACATTCCATATTTGGAAAAACGAACGTTACGGGGCAGATATTCAAATTCATTAGTCATCGATGCAGGCTCTCAATTCAGCTTGAGAGCCTGTTCGCAGGCTAGCTCATCAATTGCAAAATGCTCATTCTAGATTTTACAGTCTATGGTCTTTGCCATCCTTGGATCTATATATAGTTTGATAACTGGAATACCATGGGCTATTTATAGCACATTTGTTATTGAAGAACGACATGGATTTAATAAACAGGTAATGAAAATATCCATTAACTCAATTTCGAAAAAATACAAGGAGATCAAAATTCCAAATACCAAATTTCTCCTTGTATTTTTCAGGTAATTGCATCCCTATCAATGAAAGTTTTGTAATTTATGATAATCCTTGATTTTGACAATAATATAATCATATAAAATTATTCTCTCCCAGACATTTGGTTTCTTTGTCAAAGACACAATAAAGAAATTCATAGTGAGTATGATCATTGGTCTTCCCATCATGGCTGGCTTGATCTATATCATTAAGTGGGGAGGTGATTATTTCTTTGTTTACTGCTGGATATTTACTTTACTAATCTCACTGGTAAGTTTTTTATTTTGTTTTTTACAACTCTCTGGTTTCATTTGTATTTTAGTCATGACTAAATTACAGTAACTGAAATATAACTAGCATAATTTAGAACATGTTAATGTGAACAAAATGTAGTTGAAAACATAGGGGACTGTTTAAAAAACAGTATAAACTATATTTAATATGTACCTACATTCATGTACCTACATACATGCATTAATCTACCCGTCGAAGACTGCAGACTGACAGTCGAAAGCTTGTAATAAATAAATCTTTTTAACCAGAGAATGTTTACACAATTAATTATGAATCCTTGTTTTGCTTCCAACATTTTAAAATATATTCATGTACCATTATCTAGATTACATTTACAGCAGCAGTATCTGCTTACAATGTTTCAGTAATGTTTTTTTATTGACAATCTACTCACACATTTTCAATTGATAATTTAGTTTCTTTTGACTATCTACATGGACTACATTGCTCCACTGTTTGATAAGTTCACCCCAGTCCCTGAGGGAGAGCTACGGACAGCTATCGAGATGTTAGCACAACGTATTGACTTCCCGTTAACAAAGCTACTAGTAGTTGAAGGTTCCAAACGTTCGTCACATAGCAACGCTTACTTCTATGGCTTCTACAAAAACAAGAAGATTGTGCTGTTTGATACATTGTTGTCCGAGGGTGTGATGCCAAAGAAAGAAGAGGAAGGGACAGAGGAGGTGACAGAAGGTGGTAATGAAGAGCAAGGCAGAGATGATGGTGGGGTAGATGATGGTAATGAAGAACAGAATGTACAGTCAAGTATGGACAATGGGGAGCAGCCTGAGACTGGTGAAGAAGTGAAGGCAGATGAGGTAGGTATTCAGGTTTTGGAGTCACATGGGAATGTTAAAAATAAATCACACAACATGGGTGGCAGCTCTGAATACCAGAGCAAGGCACAGTTGTCTGAATTTGTCGGAAATTTATATCAAGCATGGTTAATAGAAGAGATCAATTGGAGCTCCCCCCATTAGCAAGTAAAGTTACAACATTCAGTTGACAGATTTTTATTTTGGCTTTAATGATTTGCGATCCAAATGGCAAACATTACATGATCCAATGGGACCCTGTTATTGGAGATTGCCTCTGTGGTCACTCCCTGCCTGTGTTGTATGTAAATTTTGTCTAGTCTAATTTATGTCTATGTTTGGCAAATCTTGTAAATAAATAAATCAATAAATAAACAATGTTGTCCCTATAGTTTTCTTACTGTGATTCCATTAGGTTAGAGTTTATCCTATAACTGCATGTGTCCTAATGAATTCCAGTGAATGAGATAAGAGTACCTGTATGTGCCTTGGTGGTATAAGACAACAACTTGGACCAGGTAAATGTACCCTTAACGTACCTATTCGTATGTTTTAAGAAAACAACAGCGGAGAATAAAGAAGAGAAGAAAACGAAAAGACTTGGATGTACAAACCGGGAAGTATTGGCTGTGTTATCTCATGAAATGGGACATTGGAAACTGAATCATACTGTGAAGAACTTAATTATCAGTCAAGTGAGTCACAATAGATTTTTTATTGCCCGATTTTATTGCCTTTGGTATATAGCTGGTTAATTTGATGGAATTGCAAAATTTGGTTGATATCATGAAATATATTCAGGGTTTTTTCAGGGATTTTTTAGGGCCATCAATGGCCCCAAAAACTCAATCTTGAATTGAGTTTTGAAACTCGATCTTCTCACCAAAGTTTCAGTGCAGTAAAAATGAAATTGTTTGAGTTAAATTCGTGATGTGTGGAAATTAGTTTTCAGTTGGAAACCCGACAATTAAAGAAAAAATGGCTGGAATTCATCTCACAACACAAGAAAAACTATGCATTCGCCATCTTTAACCAGTTTATAGTGTCCCTCAGTGCCCCTGCTTTAACACATTCCGTCTCAACTACATTTATTGAGTACAAGTGTCAGCCCCCCGGTAGGGGGGGGGGGGCAAGCATGGCCCCCAGCTGTTCAGCTAAACTCAATCTTCTCTGCAAAAACGGACCCAAGAGAAAATCCGGAAAAAACCCTGATATTATCATTATTTTCTTCCTCTGATAACTGCAGATTTACCACCATTTGCTGCACGACAGTGCTTAGTGAAACCCAACTGTGTATGTTTTATTGAAACATGGAATTGGCTTTGATAAGCCTGTGTATTAATTGTTCTGTTTATTGTGATAGAAAGTGTTTATTATTTCTTTGCTTGTAGTTCAACACATTGTTTTGTTTCATGGTGTTTGGTTTTCTTGTTCATTGGAAGGTGTTGTTCGCCAGTTTTGGTTTCGCCTCAAGTCAGCCGACCTTGATTGGTTTACTGATTGTTTTTCAGTTTATATTTTCTCCTTATAACGAGGTATGTCTACGCTTCTACACCTCTTAATTCTAACAGCTTTCGCTTCTAACTTGTATTAGGGGCAGATTTTCAGATTCGGCCGTCTGCTTGTGCTGGAATTCTTTTAGCGGAATTTTATTAGGTATTTTTCGGTGATTTTAGTGGTCAAAAGCTAGGTAGTGTTGGGACACTATATACACAGGTATGTTTTGCCATAATAAATTTAGTGATTGGATGGGGTGAAGATCAAACAGAACTATTCTTGTGCGAGAAACATAAGGATGTTGCCAAGAAATCTTTTCCTATCTTTGACAATAAATTTCTCTTGCAGTTGTTAGGTTTTCTCATGACCGTCCTCAGCCGTCGTTTCGAGTTTCAAGCGGATAGATTTGGAAAGGATCTTGGTTATGCTTACCCACTGGAGTCCGCGTTGATCAAACTGCACAAGGATAACCTTGGATTTCCTGTTGCAGATAAGCTCTACTCCACCTACCATTACTCCCATCCTCCAATCATTGAGCGAATACAGGCTCTGAGAGGGAAGAAAAACGACTAAGAGGTCTAGATAGGGGGGGAGTTAGTTTTAACCCAATCAAGCGAGGATAAGAGTTAGGAGAATTTCATCTCGCGTGTGACCGCGAGCTCTCGTCGACTCTCATGCATTCTCGTCAACTTTGAGCTGAGCTTTTTTAGTTCAAATTTTGATGAGTCCATGTTTGCTACACGTGGTAATGACCACTCATTAGACCTTATGCATAATGACGTCACAAGGCTTGATGCCCACGAGGAATGCTGGTCTTAGTAGTCATCGCCCGGGAAAATTAAATGGCCACTATCGAAATTTTCCCGGGCGATGACTACTAAGACCAGCATTCCTCGCGGGCATCAGGCCTTGTGACGTCATTATGCATAAGGTCTATTCTCCATCAAGTCGTCTTTATTCTGTGATCAAGTCTCATGCAACCCTTGTTCTCTTTGATCCGAGCATGGGGATTGAGAAAACTTTCATGCAAACTCTCTACTGTCATCAACTTTCATTCTCGTTTGATCAGGGCTTTAGTAAGATTAGCTTTTAACGTTATCTTTCTTTATGAAAGCGTTTCATTAAAAAGTTTCACTAAAACAGTACCACTTTCTATCGCGTACATGAAAATATCGGTTTGATATATGGCGACACTCGTAAACAATATGGCGAACTGTTTTTAGAAGCCTGGTCAAGTTCACCTGGCAAATATCTATATATTACTGCAAAGTCAATATGGCGGGCGGTATGTTGATATTCAACATGGCTAGTTCCTCGGGTAGAGGAGAACTGATCACGTGATCGGCTAGTTGTGTTGTTTGTGGCGTCAGATATAACCCTATCTCTAAGCCTAATCCTTAATCTAACCCTAACCCTAACCTCAACACTAATCACTATAACCAACTGATGACGTAATCTGTGATGCAAATTCTTCTACCCGAGGAAGTACCCAAAATGGGCTGTCACTGTTTCGGTTAGAGTGAAGTGTAGGAAAAGGGCACCAGCCGTAACTTTCGCCTGGTGTGATAATTCTCTGGTGGAAAACGGGGACATGTTTTTACATCCAGAGTCCCTTAAATGACGGCTTCTTGGGTGGAACATTTTATACAATTTTGGATATTATAAACCATACAAGACGTTAGTTTTTTAGTTTGGTCAGAAAAAATTGTCTTGGTTCAAAGTGGCTTACAGTTTCCAGACATACAGAATGAAAGGTGCTGAATTTATTCAAGTGATCAACTACACACATAGGCATTCTTCTGGAAACACAAGAATCAAGAGGAAAAGATCACTTTCCAGGTTTTAAAATTTATTTTACTAACTTTGAATATCACTGTCCAGGTTTTAAAGTTTATTTTACTAACTTTGAATATCACTTTCCAGGTTTTATAATTTATTTTACCAACTTTGTTTGAATTTGTTTTGATTCTATAAAATAATTAAGCCCATCCCGTGGTGGTAAACATATTCCCCGACTTATTATCTCCGTTGATACTTTATATTTCAATATTTTCTACACTACTAATTTTACATACAATGTTTAGAATTGTTTATTTAATTTGTTTCCTCTAGTTTTCGCTTATTTTTCTTGGGATGTCTTGATCGACTCTTGGCCTTACACAGTGGGCATATCGGAGCATTTCTGTGTATTTGCTGGTGGCAGGAGAGACACGATTTCATTGGTGGAGGCTGTTGTCTGAATGGTCGGCCATCCAGGGGGGTGAGAGGCTTGCTCACCAGTTGGTTGGCTGCTGCTGTTGCCGCCATGATTTGTGAAGCGACCGAGTGAGGTAAGAGGTCTGGCGGTGAGGGTAGCCATGCCGGTGGGCTTCGGTTGTTGTTTAAATAACTATAAAAGAGAAGAGCGTTAATTGTTAGGAGCAACTGCAGATTTGAGAACAGTCGTAATTTTCTCTTTCTAAATCAATAGGGAATGGACCTTACAAAACCTCAAGGAGAACTGATAGAGCTATGCAGTATAGATAAATTTAGTTTAGTTTAGGATTTCTCCTGTAGTAACAGCTAGATCAATAAGGGGATGACCCCTACTTTTGACCTTTAGAGAGTGTTAGAGCCGTAGAGAACACTTGCAAGTGATGAACCAGGCGGGAATCGTAATCGTAGTATAAAGATTAATGCCTAGCATAACGTACGCAAAAGAGTCATATAGACAATAATATAGACATAAAATTTATTTGTCATTTATTTTGTAATTTTTTATTCGTCTTTAACTCTTTACTCTGAAGATGTCTTAGGTTAAAGACGAAACGTTAGTACTTCTTAAATAAATTTTATGTCTATATTATTGTCTATATGGCTCTTTTGCGTACGTTATGCTGGGCATTAATCTCCATAGAGAACAACGAAAAATTTTCTCGAACCTACAGCTGCGATTCAGCTGCATGCATGCTAGGCTAGGGCAGCTTCTCAATTTTATTGTTGATAGATTTTACCATGGATCGCTTTTTTTTTAACTATCCATGGTTTTACGCATGAGTCAGCACTCGGCTAGAAATTGCGTTGCAAGTTGCAGCAGAAATAGTCTCGTGCACCATGGCCGTAGTGTATAAATATGCTTACTCTTTCTTCAATTTATCCTCGTCAGGTAGACCAGGCAGTTTCACCAAACCCAGCGAGTCTCTCATTTTATCAATTTCTTCTTTCAGTGGTGTGTAATCCGCGTGAAGTCGGCGTACATTCTCCAAACAGCGATCCCTTGATGTTTGCGATTGTTTAATGGTGCCTTCCATCTGAGAAAATATAAATATGTGAGTATATTATAGGGCTCTTGCATATATGAGCCCAACTAACTGGAAAACTCCAATGTGGCTTAAGATACGCATGTAAAATGCACATATATAAAAATCAATGTGTTAATATGAGAGATTTCATGGCTCGATTTTCTTCTCATGGATGTAAACGAGTAGATGAGTTACGAGTGTATTAAGGCCATGTTACACGGTGCAATTTTGCAATGCAATTCTACTCTTGAGAGATGTTAATTAGTGAAATCAGTGAAGAATTTTCGATATGTTGAGAAAACATCAGCGGAGTGTAATGAAGACTCGTATTTGGCAATTTTACATCTCTCAAAAGTAAATTGCATTGCAAGTTGCAAGAAAAATTGCACCGTGTAACATGGCCTTTACTCTCATCTGAACATTCCCAACTAATATCCACTCATTCACATCCCTCAGAAGAAGGAAATCGCAGCAAAAATTGCAAATGCAAACGGCCTTAAAATTTTTCATATCAATGCCTTATCAAACCTGGACACTTAGGTATGAATGAAAAGAGTCAGTCAACGCTCTTCCGACAATTGTGGGTTTTCTCCGGGCGCTCTGATTTCTTCCCACAGGGAATGTTGACAGGCCACATTAATTCATTATAGTAAATAATATAGGACGAAATTGAAGGAAAACAATTAAAGCAAGTCTTGCATTTTCGATTCAGTTTTGAACCGAGATTTTCCGAAGTTGACAAGTCTCTCTTTCTCGCTCCGCCTCTCAGTGCTACGTCATGTAATGTACACTATAGTGGATCGATATGACAATGCAAGAGAGACTTGGAGCAAGTCTAGTCTTAAGGTAGCTGTAGAGGCACCTTTAGTATGCCTTCGTTTCGATCGGGTTGAGTCCTTCGTAATTTTGCTCATCTCAGTTGCACACGCTATGGCTACTGCAACCTACCATGTTTATATCAGCATGGATAAGTCTCAGTTCTTCGACGTGTGACATTTTTTCTTGCAATAATTGTTCCATTTCTGATTGATATTCTCTTAAGCATTTATCTTCTCGTTCTGTCGTCTCCCATTCTTGCATTAACACGTTTTTAAGTCTGTCCAACTCGTCCATTTTCACCCTAAGACATTTGAATTTTAGTATCAGTATTGGTTGGTCAACCTCAGAACACTTGTCAAATTTGCCTTCAAAGTGACGGCACTGTTATAAATGACAAGACTATTGTATCCCCCTTGCCGTAACCGTGCCGTAACCTATTGTATCTCCCAACCTTTCTGGAAAGGTGCACTTGGGTGTAACGTTAGCCGACTGTGTCTATTGAGAAATGTCGTTTTATTCTCTTTCTTTTATGAAGCCTGGGTTCCATATGGTCGTAATGATCGTAAAAATAGAGTCACGGCCAGTTTATAATAGTTTATACCTGTAAACCACATATAAATCATAAGTATTCTCTAGTTATAACCACTCCGCGTATTTTCAGTTCTAAAATGTTGTATTTCGGCTGATGAGAAAGATCGTGACTCAATCTTTACGACCATATGTGATATGGAAACCAGTGACAACATTTGTGTGTGAATGGGCAACCTTATATGTAACGAGAGTAAACATTGAAACAGCAAAAGCTGATAAACTATAGTGGGGCCCCCTTTCCTCCACTATAGTGCATGGCCCAAAAAATTAGTGGCCCTCATTCATCCATTATAGTGGCCCAATAAACTAGTGGCCCTCATTAGGTCCTAAACTAGTGGCCTAATAAACTAGTTGCTTAAGCAATTTTAGTTATTTGGTCTGCATATCTTGTAAAATTTTTATCCGTTGACGGTTTTATTTGTTTTTGAAAACTGAAAAGTCGCGTTGCCGAATCGCGTCCGGTCTGTGTGGGCCTTAAAGCACGAGCATGGCGGATGCATGTGGACTCTTGTTAAAATGCGACTAATAATCCTAAATAAACGCGACTCTTAGCTTAAACAGTATCACATAATCTCAAGTTTGAATGCCTCGGATTTTCCGTACAATAAGATGTATAGTATAATTATACAATATCACTAATACCGCACGTGTGAGCTTTTTGTCTGTGCATGATTAAATGACAACATATTTTGCGTGGGCCTGCCGTTACCCAGGTTATATAAACGTAAAGAAAAACTTTAATACGCCAGATTATGCACGCGACTGCATGATTAATGCATGTTCACGATTAATATCACAGTATTTTAAAGTCGGAGATCACAGGATCAAACCACTTGTAAAATAACCAGGGCCCTTCGTCTCGAAACGTCGAAATTTTTTTATATATTTTTCAGCTGGCACGATTCTGTAATCTTCCCGTGTCTTTGCTTCCTACACTTGCAACCCCAAGTTAAGATTTTATCAAAGTATTTTGCTTTGTCGCAATGCAAATAAAGTTACGCGAAATTTGATTGGTTCGGCTGCCCTTTGCGCTGCGAATCATCGTTGAGAATCGTCCCGTATAACACCGTCTTCAATGTAGGACGATTCTATCAGCGACTTGCCTCATGGCTATTTTTCCCAGGAAATTGTCCCCGCGCAACTTGCACTCAAATTTCAACACCGAAACGTATTCTATAGAGGTGTATTCAAAGAGAAATTATCAGTCCACGTTTTATTTCTCCAACGTTTTTCTGTTATAACATCCCCCATTACTCATAAAACAATAAAAAGTAAAATGCTATTATAGTATAGGCTCGCAATTCTAACAGTTCTTCACTAAATATTTCTAAAATTTATAACGGCAGTGTATTGGAAATTTGGTGAATAATCCATCAAAAGTTTAACAGTTCAAGTTTTATAACCAACTGGTTTACTTAATAACTGTAGCTAAGGATGAGTTTCCTCTCCTTCTAGAATCATTCTGTTGGGATTAAAGTTAAAGGTTTCTTGTACCGCAACACTGGAATGGTAAGAGATTCGTACGAGTTTTAGATAGCGCTTTAGTTAGTGCATTTGTTTTAGAAAACAACTGTTTGTGAGTTCTGTTTTCGCGTTTTTATATTACATGAACGTTCAATTTGTATATGGCCTCGTACAATACCAAAAATTGAATACATTTTGAAAGACAAAATGAAGTGATTTAGTAAAAGAGTCCTGCTCTGTCTCCTGTCTAAATCCTTTAACAAAGAGCTCAAGTGTTGGGGTAGTTAGTTACAGCCACAGTAGGAGACTTTATCCATGCATGTACTGTATATAGAGTATACTGCATATATTCCATTTGTTCATGTCATTTTTATTTATCCTCTGTTCACAATACTGTTATACTATTGTCTTAAATCCATGAAGATTGCAAAATTTGTTACATGAAAGAGTATCAATTGTCTGCGCCATATGCCCTTCTCTGAATTGAATAATTTTGAGATTTTAAATGAAGTGTTAGGCTCTCTTCTAACATTATGCATGATCAGATATGTTCAAATAGGCATGAATATTTTATAAATTTGAAACTTCAGTCTTTAACTCAAGATATAGGAAACATCCTATAACTGTAGTTTAGTAGAACGAATATATAGTGTCTTAAAGTTATCTTTATTCCATATTGTTTTAAGTCTGCGGGGAAAAAATGAACGGAGTCGGAGCCACATCATTGCTTCACGTTATATTTTTTAAGTTCATATATTGCAAATTGTATATTTATAACTTAAGATTTTTGTCTTTAACGAACGAATTTTATTTCGCCGAGTCCATTCACGATGGTTGTCGAAAGCCAACATTGCGTATCTTTTATTATACAGCAAGGCCGCGCTTTGAACAACATTGCTAGTGTATTTGTTTGCCAACTTTCGACGTTGACATAATTGGCAAAATCGAGACTCGCCGCGGCATTGAAAATTATATAGATTTGAAAATTGTGTAGAACTCCGGGCATGTAGCGTTCTAAGTTTGAATTTTTAGTAGTTTATCTTTTCACGAGTTTACTATAGAGTTATTTTGAAAGTCAAAGGACAAGACTAATATCTACTATATACCGTAGCTAATTTAGTCGCAAATGTCAAAGCAGGCAAGCGTGACCACACGAATGAATGGGATTATATGCACTTACCTGATCTCTTTTACTGTTTCAAGTTTCGTAGCAAGGGCTGCGTCTTCATCGCCATTTTGGGAAGAAGGCTGAAGTTCCAGATTAGTACTTGTCGTTGCGACTGCCATCTTGTGTTCTTTTGTGTAAAACTTGAAACATTTGCTTCATTTCAGCTTTATTGTACTAGTATATATGCATTGTTAGCCTCCAGCCAATCAAATGCGAGTATGCTTCAAACTTGTTAATGTCAGCTGTTGTACACCTGCACGTTTAGCCATGACAACTCAGCGTTAATAACTGGAACTCGCTTTTGAAAAAACATTATAAAATAACTGCCTAAATCAAGGGGGAAATCCTGCAAAGTTTTCTCTGTGGGCCTGCAAAGAAACAAAAAATTAGAACATTTCAAAGTATTCTAATTTCTCGACAAGTGTAACAATTATACTGCACATGACTTATATAAGTTCTGAATAATTTATTTAATATTTTCTCCAATCGCGAAGCGCCTTGTCAAATTTCATTAAAGACAATATGGGTTTAAACAAAATACTCGCCACTTATCCACTTGCAAGTTTTTGTCTTAAAGCGAGCAATATCAACAGTGATTTGAAAATTAAAAAAAATTATGAAAATTGCGTTCACTGTCATCTATCATGTTAGGATATTACTGCTCTGTAAAATTCAACACTTAGATCATCAAATATTAATATTTGTCGCAATAAAATTTTCTGCTGTTGTCTACTTCAATTTGTCACTATAATTTAGAGTTTAAATTTAGAAATTAAATTACATGTTTGTCCGGCACTTTTGTTCAGTAGATCGATGTTTTGCATGCAATATGAAGTCATGTATAACACAGATACTATGTACATATATATAATATACACTTTGCAATAAACTCTTGAGAGAAAATTGTCTTACGTATTTTCGTCAAAGCATAGTTTGAGCATGCAAAGAAATTTCGCGTATGGACTATATGGTGTATGTGACACCAGTCTTTGAAAGAGGTTTAAACTGACAAATGCATTAATCAAGCATTTAGGTTTTTATCACAGAAACCTCGACACACTACAAATCATTCTTCATATATACTATATAGAGATAGTTTTAAGACTTTTGAGGACTCTTCTTTTTAATTTTAGTGTTAATAACCAGGAAATAACTAACAAGATTTTCTCAACATTCGTAAAATTTCGGCCAAAAAAACGTCCAAGCTGAAAGTAAAACCAGTATATAAACAGGAAGTTTCATTCGCAGGTAAAGTCGACCTGTTGTTTTTAACAAAATCAAAATTTTAAACCCAATTTCTGTCATTATTATTTCAGCATGGGGTAATCAGTATGAAATCTGCTATTTCTGTAATTATATCTGCAAATGAAATTTTTGAGTCACATTTTTGAACCTCTATATATAGGTAAAACCTGAGGGGAAAACCTTTTGAAATCACCTTTCAACTTCAAAATCTTTGAAAGATATTTATATTGCCATACAAGTAACGGTCTTTTAAGTTTCTGCAGCATTTCAAGACTTTATCTAATTTCAGAAGTTTTCACATGCGTCAAAATCAAACTGTGCGCAAACAATTTGCCAGAATAAAAGCATCACGGAGAAAAGCATGACATCGTTTGTATATAATACGAATATTATATTTGTTCGCTGTCTTAGTATGACAATGTATACATTATGTATGTGAAGTATATTATATTTCATTCTTCCGTCTGATGATGTCTTTGAAATAAAGTCGGAAAACGGTCTGTAAAACTCGCCTTCTTTTAATATATTGACGATCTTTGGGAGTTATATTTTTCCGTGTTAAACATGTGTTTTAACTTTGAAATTTTACACAGTTCCTCTTTTTTGTTTGCTTAAACGTAGGAAGTTTGCCAGATATGGTAACGAGGAACCGCTCGATGGACACACACACATGCAATATCCAATTAAACTCTCGACTTTAAATTTTCTCTTTTTAATTAAGCAACTCATTTGTTCTGACGGTTTTGGAACAAACAAAGACATAAGAGACGTGATATTAAAGAAATTACGTCTACTCCACGTTTTTCTCGTCTTCCTGTCGTTGTCATGTGAACTGTATCTCATGTTCCTTGAATAGAATGACACGTGTGTCTGTTATTGCACGTTTTCTTCACTGCTTTGTTTGATTCGAGTTTTTTTTAACTTTAGGACGATGTGGGGCACATGGACAATAGTTCCCCTGCCTCTGTGTAAAATGGAATAGTTGGCAATGGAATAGTTAACCAGTTGGGTTGTGGGCACTTGTCATGGACTAAATTAATATTATAAAGCCCTCCTGTTTATCAATAAACTTAAATATAAACTTTCTTTATACGAAATATCTTATCAGTTCTAAACGATTCTTTCTCATGGAGGTCCATGCAGCTTAGGTCATCCCTGTTTGGTTCAGAAGGAAACCTAAACTTAGCTACCTTAATTTATAATGGATAGCTCTATTCTAAAACTGTTCTCTCTCAAGGTCCAGTAAGCATCATCTCTCATAGATGCAGTTTCGCTATACCTTAACTAACTTAATTTGTACTGGGAGATTGTTTGAATACATCAATCAAAAAGACATCTAAGTTAATGAAGCATGAATTATGCATGATATCGTGTTTTAGATTCCCGTGTTGCGTGTAGGCGTAAGGAATGTTAACGAAGACTTTGATGCCGTACAATGGTTCTGTTCAATTTGTCACTATATTTAGTCAGCTTTGTGTTATTATTACCACGTGTTGTTCATTGTCTATTCTCTGTCTGATGTTTTATGAAGCCCTGGTTCATTACGTTGTGATCGTAAAATAATCTTGTAAGGCTTTTTTTTTAAATTGGGGGAGGTCTAACATAGTGTCATTAGGAAGTATGTATTTAAGCTAAAATGTTGATGGACTGTGCGTCTAGGTATCCAAACCCACCCTGTTAACATTCCAAGTGGGAAGATTCCAGAGTACGTAGACATACGACTTTAAGCACAGAATAAAGACACACAGAAGGTCGACTCAGCCAAAAAAGCGTAACCGCTGCCACGCCATGATTCGTCATCAAAATGCTGACGCCATGGCCCTAGCCCACTGAGCTATACCCTAGCCAGTGCGCTTATGAGAGGCATTCCCTGGACATCCGCCATTTTGAATATTATCAGGGGGGTGAATGCCTCTCATAAGCACACTGGCTAGGACCATGGCGTTAGTATTTTGATGACGAATTACGGT